TTGATAATTCAGCCAAGGCATGTCTTTTTATATATTCATGTATTTTTGTAAAAAAAAAAAATTCAATTATAGTTATTTTTCTCGCAATTCCTTACCCTATGCCCCAACCTTTTTCCTTTTTTACTTTCTATTTTTCTTGACCAAGAATTCCACTGCTATCATTTTAAACTAACTATAACTTGTATTTTTCAACCACTAGAAGTTGATGTTTGGAAGAATGCATTTCAGTAAAGATCATGACTTGCTAGAAAACATCTATGTTCCTTTAATATTTTCATCTATTGTGCAATGGTTTATGGGTTCTTTTCTTCTTTCTCAGTTGTGAACTCTAATCTATACTTTTTTTTAGGGCTATTGAGCACCAGTAGGATGGTGATCTCTTTGCCATAGGTAGACTGCAAGTAGATATATGGAATCACAATAGGTTTTGACCTCAACTTGTCTTATTTTTTTTAGTTTTTTCCCTCTTGTAGTATGCAGATTTATTTATTTTATGAGAATGTTGCTTTTTGTAATTAGGTCTCAGCTAGTGAACACTTTTGATTGGGGAACTGACACCACTATAGCTGTTTGATTTAATCTTGGAGAACCAAATATTTTGGCAACATCAGCTAAGTATGTATAGATGCTTGCTTCTATATCTCATATTATATGGTTGACAAAATGGATTTCTAATATAAAGTTAGAAACCTATCAAATTTTCTAATCATCATATGTTTTATCCTAAGAGATCTAGATTGTAGTGAGATTTGTAATGCCAACTAGCTTGATTTGTAGAGACACCAAAATGGTGAAGTCTTCCTATAATTTATTTGGCTATCATTGGGCCCCATGACTTTTTCTATGGTATTTTTTTTATCTTGTTTCCAAGACAGAACAGCTAGGAATAGTGTAATATGCTATTAATCTATGCTTTCTAGGACCCTAAATATCACTGTATATCATTGAAAAAAGATGGGATAATTTGTAAGGTTGATTAGGATATGTGGTACAAGTATATTTGGAAAGTTGGCAAAGTTCACACTAAAAGTTGTTGAGATTTTTATTGAATAATTAAAGAAACAACCTTTGGAGGTACAAAAAGTTTGGATGACCCGATTGGTAGTGCCACAAACATGATAGTACTATCTTTATTATTATTTGAAGATGAAGCCACACAAGAGATCTTTTGATATTGTTTTTCAGAATCATTAGCTCTTAGGATATAGAGTCTTGCACACGTCTTAGCATTACCAATCATCTTTCCCGAGTCCAAATCTTAAAATTTACACATAGTTGGAAGAAATTTAATAACACACTTAAGGTCTCATGTAAGTTTGCTTATAGACAGTAGATTACAACTTAGATTTGGGACAAACAGAACATAATTAAGTGTTATCTTTTTGAAAATAATAACAAAACCTGTACCTGCAACTTTTGAAAGTGACCCATTAGCAATTCAAATTGTAAAGTTTTCATAACATAGGTTGTCTTTACTGAATATAGATACATTCCCAGTCATATGGTCTAAAACTCTTAAATCCACAATCTATGAATTTAATTTCTCTAGTTTTACACTCAAGGCACTTAGAAATTTATTTTTTTTGTACCAAAGAACCTATTATAATAACGCTAGCTTTGGGGTTAAAGGTAACCTCTGACGCTGGACATTCCCTTCCGCTAGTCATGCTGGACTCTGAGTGAAAATTTTCAAAAATTCATATTGTACTCTGATACCATAAAGAAATCTCTAGAATAAAACTATGTTATTCTTCTTTTTTTTTTAGTACAATATTAGAATTACATGAAAATATATAGGTTAAAGATTGAATATTTTTAGCCTTAAAATCCAAAATTTTCATGCATTAAAACAGCTAATCAAAGAAAAAATTTACTCTCCACACATAATATGAAAATATCTAATGGATTTAGTGTAATTACCTAAATTACTTTTTATTCTAAAAATAGGATACTTAACTAAAATAGATAAAGTAAACTAATCAAGTAATAATGAAGATTAGATTTCCACACTTATATGATCTATGGATATTGTCTCCAGCAAGGAAAGTTATCATGAGGGTAACTCTGGACGCTTTTGAGTTCGAAAACACAGAATCCATATTTCTGGCTTGAAGGGATAATAATCAGATCGATTTCTTTATAAATCTATTTTTTTTTCTTTTTATCTATTATAAATGGTAGGTGGTTTTCCTTAAAAGAGCTGCGAAATTTGTTAAATTTAGATTTAATATCCTGGAAACTGAAATAGCTCAGCAGAATATCTCTTTTAGTGGTTAACGTTTGAAATTTTGCGCGTAGTAGTAGCTTTCCAACAATATTTAAAATCAGAGTTTCTTCACATGTAATCTGACTTATATCTTCGTGTTACTGACAAAAACCAATTCTATTGCTTGCAATCCAATGTAGCCTATGAACTTCACCTCGGTAAGGGGAAACAAGTTGAAGCATCTTTCCTTGATACATATGTTGACATTTTCTTATAGATGTTTCTTAGACGGTAAAGATTGCTGCCAATTCTTGTCTGGAAGTTGATTTTTTTGGCAGCATTGCTCCCCAGGGGGACTAAAACTAATACAGATGAAAAATAAGAGAGGAAAAGAAAGAGACAAAGGAACAAAACATTCATTCAAGAAATTCTTTCCTGTAGAACTCTTTTAAGTGCAGGCAAATGAGGATTGCAACTGCTAGAGCTATAATGCTAGAAAACTGGATGAGGCCAAGTGTGTACACAAAGACCATGTTTCTACAGTCTATGACCTGTTTTAGTCTTAGTTCTTGATGGTCAAGTAATCTATTTTCTTGAAAATGTTAACTTCTCACCTTTTTCTGCCAGAATGGATATTGATTTCTCACCAACTGGTCGGGAATTTGTAACTGGATCTTATGATAGAACAGTGAGCCCTCTTTATTTTCACTTTTTTACAATTCACTGAGCATCTTTTTCTTTTTCCATTTTTTTTTTTTGGTTCTCCAAGGACTTTGTTAGTGCCTAAACAAACTTTTGTCTATAGGTTAGAATTTTCTAGTATAATGGTAGTTACAGTCAAGAAATCTACCATAAAAAGAGAATGCAAAGGTTTAGTTTCCAGTCATTTAGATAATAAGGATTTTATTGAATCTAATTCTCCTGATTGCTTTTTCTCTACTTTTAGGGTATTTTGTGTGAAGTATAGCTGTGATGCCAGTTATGTAATTTCCGGAAGCGATGATACCAATCTTAGGCTCTGAAAAGCTAAAGCATCAGAACAATTGGGAGTAGTAAGAATCTCTTCATTTGATGTGATTCATTAAGATTTCTACATTTAAATCATATTTCCTACTGCAAGCTAACTGAGAAATTTGTTGAAACTGTGTAATCAACTGAGAATCAGCATTTATAACAGAGAGTATGTGGTCTTTCAGGCTCCAAACTCAGACAAAAGTATTTATTTCATAATTTTCTTTGGATTCTAATAGTTGCATTCCAATTCAGATGATTTTAGGAGAGATTTCTTTGGAAATTCACAATTGCATTTGGTTCGAGGTATGTACCTGAACGCAATTTCTCTTGTTGCATCCCACCTAAAAGTCTCATCTGTTCCTCTTATGTCTTATGCAGATACTTCCAAGGGAAAAACAGCAGGAACATCTTGAAGCTGTTAAGAATCGCTACAATCACCTTACTGAAGTCAAGCACAATGTGGGGTAACATTGAAACTGAAGACTTGGTTCCCATTTCTGAGCTCTTGACAATTTCAATAAAATGCCCATATTGCCCTTCCTTTTTTTGGGGAGTTTCTCTAGGATGGGCATTTTAAGGATTTGAGAACCATGCACTAGGAAATTTATTTATCTAGCCCTTTTTTCTCTTCTCCTTCCGGTCTTTTGACATTACATTAAATTTTCGTTTCCACTGTAAGATGATTCATTCTGCTTTGGTTAATGAACTAAACAGAAGACTTTTTCAGGTGTATTTGATGAGAACAAATGATCTTTGTCTTTAGTTGTTAATGCTCCCGTATTGGTTATCATTATGCAGGCACAGGCACTTGCCAAAACCAATTTACAAGGCAGCCAATCTCAGGCGCACAATGATTGAAGCAGAAAGAACAAAGAAGGAAAGATCAACGTGCCCCTGGAAGCATCGTGACTGAGTCAATACGTAAAAGAAGAATCATCAAAGAGGTTGAATGAGTTGCACATGAACGTCTCCCCAGGAACGATGCCTTGCACATGTGTCTGCACAGCACATCTGCAGTTCTCTGTGATCCAATGCCAGTGACAAGCAATTCCCTAAGTCTGACAACGTTTCGCTCGCAATACTCAACCGAATGCAGGCTGCGGTACTAGTGAAACGAGGCAGGATTTTTTTTTTTTCTTAATTGAACAGTTTTGTCACACACAAAGTTGATTGATATCTTTGTAATTTTAGTGTTTATAATGATACGGTTTATTAACAAATAAAAGGGGTAGCTTGGATTTTTTTTCAATTGCAGTTGAGGTTTGCTTTTGCTCTTTTCCTTTCAGGACTTTTGTCATCCAACAACGCTCTTCACCTTCACATGCAACTCATTTTTTACGTCAACAAAAATACTATTCTAAAACGAGTATTGCTTTCTGGCCCGACCCAAATTTAGTTAAATGGATGATAAGGTTAAATATTTGCAAATTTGCTTCTCGTTTATTTTTCTCTTGGATCTTTCTCCTTACCATGTAGTCCACTTGACAATCAAAGATGGTAAAACAAAAAAAATTTAAATTTAATATAAAAGAAAACATATATATTTTGTGTTTTTCATGTCGACAAAAAGTAAAACATAAAGTTTTCCGTATAGAACACAACATAAATATATAAAATTATCAATATTTTATATAACATAAATAAACAAATTGTCAAATATACCATGTAAATGCTGAAACATGCATTATCAAAATGCTATAAAGAAAATTCCTCCAGAGTGCAATGCAAGAATCTAAAGCCAATATAACAATACAAAGCACGTTAGTTGCCAAAAAGAAGAGAAGAAAAAACTTCAATAGTCCACCTTTAAAGATAAAACAAAAGCCTAAAACCATTGATCTAAGACAGCAGCGGCATACTGTCTTAAATTACAAGGCAAACGCTAAAGCAGCATTTTGTGCCTATCAAAGAAAACTCGATACTGTCATACACATGAAGCACCTCTTACAAATGCATAAAAATGCCAAAAAAGCTACCCCATATACTTAACTTCATAACAACTAAGTCCATTAAGGTCGTCATTTACGATCATCTTCTTCGTCATCATCAGAATTACCACTCTCGCGGAAACGTGGATTCTTCTCCTGCTTAAGGTATGCAACAGAGGATGTATTATACAAATTATCATACAAATTGAAAAGGACATGGAGATTTGAAAATGCAATAAGCATCATGCCATCTTTTAATCTTTTTATTTTAATTTTTTTCTTTTCGTTCTATTTCCAACCCAAAGTATATGCTGACGACTCAAACAAAGGAAGTGGTATAAGCAGGCGGATATTAATAATGCAAATTTCTCAACTGAACAATAAACTCTTCAAAGTGCTGTTAAGCATTACCGGTCTAGAATCACGGTCTGAGTCTCTCCTGGATTCATTATATGAGGTTCTCTTTGAGGACTCACGCACATATCGGTCATCATCCCGGTGTCGCTTCCGATGATAATCTGCTTTATCAACAGTCGATCAACTATAAGAATGCCTCAAACATGTCTACATAAAAAGAATCATTAGACATGCTATTCAAAGGTAAATACCTCTCCCATGTCGATGAGAACCCCCATGACCATGGCCCCCACCATGCTTATCATCTGTAATTATAAGATGTCAGTATTAACACCCAAAACGACATGAGATGCACATTTATGGACAGAAAAGCCTATAAGCACATAAGAAGTTAGAAGGTATCCAGCAGATTGGCTTCGGTATACATGATTAAATCATACAGAGATCAAGTGATAAGTAGTAATGAAATTTTAAGATAAACTGAGAAACAAAAGAAATAAAAAACACCTAACAGCCAAAATTGCACAAAGTATCATCTATCAAGAATATAATATTAAGTCTATTTTTGCCAAATATATTCCTAACTTACAAGAAAGCTAAAAGGAGAGGGCAAACATTTCTAATAGATCTGACCTTCCTTTCAGCTGATTATCATCTTCCAGTTTTCATTTAAAGCCATTTCCCTATTTTTTCTTTGCTCTTTAAAATAGATCATGTAGTCCAAGGATGTACTATTCTACCAATAGAAGGAAGATTTGCAGATTTGACAAATCATATTAGATTCTGCCATCCAAACTTATTTTCAACCATCATTACTAAAATAATTGGTTTGCAGCATTTCCCCAAACTAACCAGTGAAAGCCTGTTTTTCTCCCTCAAACATTTATGGTTTTATGAGCCGAAAAGGGAATAATTCTAACCGACAAGATAGAGATCTATATCCAAATGACATTAGAAACTCACAATGAGGGGGCATAACCGGTGGGAATGAGCCCAGCGACCCGGCACCATAATCTACGAGCTGCCTCTGTGCATCCAACTCTCTCTGAACTAATTTTCCATAGCCACCTCTGCGTATAGCATGTTAAGGTAGGAGACCATATATATAGACAAAAGACATGCTGAAGAGACCCTAAGTCTTTGGATTGGGAATCAACAACCCTATATCTGAATGTATAAGATATCATGAGACTAGAAAAATGTGATTATCCAAAATCCTGAATCAATATTTACTATATTAGACTTCATTATTTATACAATATACAAATTTTTTTGTGTCTGAACAAGATAAGTAATTATGATCATTAAATTCCACGCTAAAAGCTGAAAGGATATCAGGATCATAATCAGTTCGATATTCATCTCGAACCTGCATAAATATAAAACTAAATTAATTCATATTAGAGCAAAAGAACATTGGAAACTCTATCCATTCCATACTATACAAGTTCAAAACTACATATCCAATTCGAAAAGTCAAAACAATGTAAGGTTTCATTAAAATGTGCATTGGATAAAAAATTAGTAAAATTGCAGGCACAAGAAAAGAACTCACTTGGCCACCACTTCGACCACGGCCCCATTGCCTTCCTTCAACAAATCCCCAATCAAAATCCACACGAATGGGACGGTCATCAAGAATTGTCCCACTAATGTATTTAACAGCATCCTCTGTATCTTCCCTCGAATAATACCTGATGAAGAAGAAGAAAACCAAAAACTCAATAACCAATTAAGATAAAGATTAACATGTTATAGGAAAGACAAAGAAAAAAATGAGAGTTACAAGACAAAGCAAAAGCCGCAAGGTGTTTTAGAGTTCTTGTCAAGGCCCATGATTATTTTCTTAATTTCACCGGCTCGTGAGAAAAGCTCGTAAACCTGTTCTTCAGTTGTGTAAAAAGACATGTTTCCGATATAAACGGTTGTCGAATTCAGGAGTGATTGCTCAAATTCCTCTTGTGTACCATTAAATCTTCTGTCACGATACGCTGAAATCTTTGCTGAGTCCTAAAATTTACCCCCAACCAACACCCAAAAAATTCAATTAAAATAGTAACAAGAATTATCATTAATTTTCCTTTGAAAGAAGCTGGGAAGTCAATGATAATATACCTTGAACAGAGAAGCCATTGCCTTCTTCCAATGCTCAAAAAAACAAAAATCTTGATTTCTGAATACAACGAACTAGAAATAACCTGTTGCAGGGGAATAAGTTTTTATAGGGCCGTTACGTATGAAAATGGGTTTTATTGAGCCTTTGGCCCATTTTCATTTACCCACTTCTGCTTTTTTGGTTCAATCCGACTCGACCCGCTTCTCAAGCTCGGAAAAGGGTTTTAGACTTTCAGTCAAAAACCCTAAAAGTGGAAAGAAGAAAAGGTGTGAATCCTTTGATTCTTGGTTTCCAGACATATCTCCACATTTTCTCTTCTCCCAGATATCCCAATGGCATCGGTTGCCGCTGCCGCAAGATCAGTTCTCCGGTCAAGCTCTGCTCGCAACGCTGCGGCTCGGCTCGCCCCCCAAGCCAAAGCCAATGCCGCTTCTTTGCCATTTCGTGTCTCCTCCAGAATCCCTCTCTCCAAACGCATTTTCAGGTCTCCAGTTCATCTCGCTTAACAAAAACGTCTTTTCTTCATTTAAAATAGTGAAAACAATATGCAACTATTTTATTTATATATATAAAGAGAATTTTTTTTCTTTTGGGTGTTGAAGGTGTCCGGTTGAAGCGAGTTTCTGCGTGGAATCGATGCTGCCGTATCACACGGCAACTGCTGCGGCTTTGATGACTTCCATGCTCTCCATTTCTCGCCGCAGCTATGTTTGGCTTCCAGAAGGTATTATGATTTCAATCTTTTAGATTATTTGCTTTCTGGTTTGACGATTATCGAGCTTCAATAAGAAGCGATTTTGTTATAAAATTAGATGGCTTTCCTTAAGGTTTTGGCTCGTTGGGTTTTGCTCTTCCTTTTGAGTTCTTTGTTTGCTTCTTTGTTCTTGTTTCCGATGGATCCCTTTTGTTCTTACATTATGGTTGCACAATCTGTAGTTTAGGAAACTATTTTGTAGAATTTGGGTGTATTTGAGGTTGAAATTTGAAATAATAGGAAGGATTGATTTGAAAACTGGGTATTGAAACAATTTCCACTTGTCTGTTTTGTTGTGTATCATACAGAAGTTGTCGTTTTGTCACTTTGTCTTGTCGGTTGTCTAACCGTTGGACTTTTCATTCTTGAATTAGGTATCTAGGATAGGACTATCTTGATGTTCTATTCTTCCTTTTGATTTCTGGTAAGTTAGCATCTGCAGGGTGTTTTGTTAATTTTGTCCTAGCAAAAGTAAAAACAACTTGTTTTGCTGTCGTGGTCTTGGGGAATGCTCAGTTTAGTTTTCATGTGGTTGAGTCATGCATTTGATCTCATAAAGATTGAGACAACATTCTATTAACTTCTCTACCCTTTTTAATAATAGTAAAAATGGTCCATATGCTCCTCTTTTCATGTTGTAGGCCAAGACAAGACTAGATGAAGATCAAGAAGCGAGATGGAATGACTTGGACTTATTTATGTTTTCAAACTTTTGAGCTAGCGATTGCATTATCTTTAAAATAGATATATTATGCTTATTATTTCTATGCAGTGATTAAACACAACATAAATTAAGGATTAATGTTTATGTTGTGATTTATCTCCAGTGTTTTGAGGCTTCCAATTGAATGCTTGCCTGTAAGGATGATGTAATTTGATAAGAAGCTTTTTGGTTCTTTACCTTATGGATCTTTTATTTTGTTATGAGATGAGAATGATAACTGTATGCATCTTTTCATATCTCTGCATGTGTAGCCCTACGTATTTGTGAATGCTAGTCATGGAGTTCTTCACATGCTCACTACACTCCATCTTAGAAAAAATTCCCTCCTTTGCCTAAGTATCCCGTGGTCGAACAGCTAAAGTAACACTTATTCTTTTTCTGATTTCCCTTGGTTAATTTTCTATTTGATGCTATTGTTGAAAATTGCTGAGAAAATCACTTCGACTGAGCAACTAACCTGAGAGAGGTGTTGATGAAAGATAAGCACTTCTATGTTTTTGTTCCATATACTTTAAACTATATAATTTGTAAACTTTTGCATTGGCTCAGATTTTTTAGTCTAAATATTTGATGTAAATATTTCAGTTGGTTGAAATTGATATAAGAATAAATTCAATGCAATCAATGAGAAGGTTACTGATAATTTCTATTCAATCAGCTTGCAATGATGATGTGTGACTTATGTTCAGAGGATTGGAGCAAGTTTGATGCACACAATTCACCCTCTGCAGATAACATAGAAGTTTTCAAATGGGCGGATGGGAAGCCAAGTTGAATTTCCTAAGCTTTCAAACTTAGATGGACCAGTAGATGACATCACTCTTTAGCTCTTAGGAAGTGCTGATACTCTATGTCAATTCTTTCTATTGCCTTTTGTAGCTCATAGACAGTTTTTGAAAAAATGTATCACAAAGTCTTTCTCAAAATTTCCTTTGTTTTATGTGTTGAAGTTGATATGATTTTAAAGCAACATACTTCTATCTTGTATGTCAAATGGTGCAAAAATGCATTGCAGATTATTGAATAAAGACATAAATGATGCTTGATGAATGTGAAATGGTGCTGAGAGTAGCTGCTTTAAAAGTGCTTCTTTTTTAAAGAGAATGATGCCTTAAAAGATGCAACGTTTGAATGAACATTGACCAGGGTAACCATACAATTCCATTCTTAATGTTTCTTATCTCTTATTTTCTTCTTTGACTTTAGCTGAAGGAATTGGGAAAAAAAAAAAACTTTTGGCTACATTATCTTTATACATCATATCACTACCTCAGCTATTTCTGTTTCAAAAACAGCGTATTTTTAACTTTAGGTTTGTATTTCAAATTTCTTAATTTTGGATTCTTAGTATATCTGGGATTGCCCTGATTGGTATCATCTAGATATGTCTGTAGATTGATTCTTCTTGGAGTGAAATGTAGTTGTACTTGATAACTCTCCAGGTTCAGTTTGATTTGTAAGGCATTTAGCCTTTAGAACTTGGCAGGTTAGAGGAGCGATTTCACCTTGGCCAATAATGCTTGTCATGCTGTTAGCAAATTTAACCCCCGTGAGTGGGGTTTTTCACCCTTGCCACATTGTAGTCCTGAGCTGTTGGATCAGCCGTCCAAAGAAAGCAAACAACCTTTATGCATTAACATGCTCCGCTCATTGCAGCCCCTTCAGCCTCAAGCTTTGAGCTGTGTTTGTCTGGAGCATTAAAGAAACTCTATAGCTCCATGTTGGTTTAAATCCCAGAATAATTTTTTGTTGCTTGCCATCCAGGATTCATGTTAAGCCATTCACCTCATACCATGTCAAAGCTGATGCAATTTACATAAGTTTTCTTTTTATCTTGAGGTAAAATGAAGACTTTTTTGTTCTTCGGGCTGTCATCCTCTTAATGTTTGACAAATCCAGCCAGGAGAAGACTTAGAACCATGTTGATTTTCTTTTTTTATTCACTCGTTTTGTCTTAATTTTCCAACTTGTAGATTTTTTCTTTAACTTTATTCTCAAACATTTTATTAGTAAATGCAACCATTCGTAATTCGTTCTTGTATGGTTAGATGACTGACGTGCAAAGTGCACCATGGCAAACTGTAGCTACCATGTTCATGGATGTTTGATATGCTTCAGACCTGCATCTGGAGTGATATCTTGGCAAGAAGATCAACCGTGAACAAAAGAAAACAAACTCCTTTTTATTATTACATATAATGTCAAACATGAATTTATCAGCCTGTTGAAAAAACAACTTTATTTGCGTTAGAATTTTGATACGACTACTGAACCTAATTAGTTTTGCTGTGAATTCTGTCTCCTGCTACTACCAAGGCCTGCTCCGATCGCTCTCGTCCCACTTCTGCTGTCTCCCCTTCATCTAACTTTTGCATTAGATGCTGCCGGCAATACCGGATTATCACCAGAGATATGAATGCTGCCAAAGTTATCCAGAAAAATTATTTGTTGACAGTTGAAAAATGAAATTATGGCCAAGGTTACTGTCGTATTCAACGTACCAGTGAAAATACGCGTTTTTACACTCGAGAGATTCCAAAAGGCTGTGGCTGCTGAAGCTGCCACAACCTTTTTGTGAGAGCAAGCTCCCCAAGCTTCAATGGTCCATTGTTTCATGCACTCAGCTGCATACCCAAATTCATTTCCATCAATAAATTGCAATACCAAAAACAAATCTACAAGTATATAATAGGGGGGGATTACTGTATACCTTTCTGGTTTATCTGACGAGAATAGCACGAGTACAGTTTTGGAATGGAGAAGATAATGAAAAATCCTGCTCCAATGCAAACAGCGATCCCACATCAAAATTTTAGATAATGGCGAACTTCATTAATGAAGATTCAATGGGAGAGATAGACAGGGTAATAATGATCATATACCAAATGCACAGAGCCTTCGCAGGGTTATAATGTGGCCATACTCAGCTCCAAGGATGAGCAATGGAGCTACCTGCATGCAATGAGAAAAACAGGACCGATATAACTAACCTTTTTGTTTAAATAGTCCTCACTCTAAGTCTATTCAATTATGTCATTTTTATTGTGCTTCTTAAACTTTGTTCACTACCTTGAGGGTCGTGGAGGGTTCCCCAGAGAACAGTTCTCTCATCTTTGAAATTGCAAGATTTGTAGATGGAAGCATCGGTCTTGTTAGTCTCAGCAAATCTTCTTCTCTCAGCTTGAATTCGTTCCTCTTCTCAACGTTATGACAGATTGAGTTCGAGAAGAAGGAAACGCCCAAAAACAGAAGACCAATTTGAGATATCATGGAGAAAATGCTGTAGAGATGAAACCAAGGAATGTTAGTAAGGAGATTTGGCTGAAACTCGCTAAAGAACTTCAATGCAGGACTGGAGGATTAAAAAGCAGGAGACTGGTTACCTGAAAGTAACTCCTTTGGTGAGAAAAGAAGACAAGAAACATAAACATCCAAATCCAAACCACAAGCTTGACTTTGCAACATCTCTCCACATAACCAAATCACTGATCATCTCCCCAATTCTATTGATATTACTTTTTTCGCAATCAACAGTTTCTAACCCATCAAAAAACAATGAAAGATTAGAAAATAAAAATCCAAAAAACAAGACACATTGAAAGAACAATATTTTTTTTTTTGAAGGGCATACTTGGAGACAAATTTGAAGAAGGAAGACAAGGGACCAAACTGAGTTTCTCCTTCTTTGATTTCCCACTATGACGCCTTTTTCTTGGTTTCCCCACCTCCTCCCCCAGAACCAAATCCCTATCTTCTCTTAACTCCATCTCAATTCTCCTTCTTGACCTTCTATTGTTCCTAGGGGACCCGCATCCCGGAAGACCCATCTGGGCAGTCCTGCTTTTGCATCTCCTACGAGAACCACCATGCTCTGGAGCGGCTTCCTCTGCCATTTCAATCCTATCTGCGAGTCTGTTTTTTGACCTTCGCAGAGGAGAAGCAGGGGAGAGAAGCAAAAGTTCTTGGAGAGGCAGAGAGTTGGTAGATGATCTGAGTGAAAGAGGGGATGGTGAAGTTGTTTTCTTGGGGGATGGAGGGATGTGGTCCAAAGAGAGATGTGGGATTGTGGGTCTTTGTTGCTCTTCGGGTTCAACACTAGAGTAGCTGATTCTTGCTAAACGTGAAGCTGATTTGTTCTGAGAATTTGGGTTTGAGAGATGAGAAGACAATGTTGAATTTGAATCCATTTCTTTGAATTAATTGGAGCAAGATTTCCGGGTTCTTTGAGAGAAATGAAATGAGTGACAAGATTATGTTGGAATTCAATTCAATATGACGAGATCTTGAAGAGGTTTTGATTGAGATGAGAGTAGAGGTGGTTTTTGAGGGTTTGTTTAAGAAATGGAAGGAGCCGTTGAAGAGGATTTCGTTCTCTTTTTTTTGGATTTTTGAAAAGTTAACAGCGGGAGATGGTGGGACCCTGACTTGTGCTACAACGGTAAGAAAATGGTACGGCCAGTTGTCTTTTTGGGGCCGGATGTCCATGACCATAACTCCCATTTATTGAATTTCGACCAATCCTTATGGGCTTGCTGACGGGTTTCTTTAAGGATGGTTTGGGTACTACCCTGACCCTTACCATGCATGACAAAATGAAAATTTATAAATATATATAAATTTTATATTTTTTATATTTTTTATGATTTAAAATTTTAATCTATCTTAATTTTTATATTGTATATAAATGAAGAAATATATTCATAATCATTTATAATTTGTAGTTTAAAATTATAAAAACTTTTATGTATAAATTATTATAAAAAAATCTAAATAAACATTATTAAAACTTTAAATTATGAAAATAAAATTACATATAAATTTTAATGAGAAAGTTAATCTCATGTTCATAATTATATACACTTTTAAAAGTATATATTATTTTAGTATAAAAATTAAGATTCACACATATGATATATTTTGAAAGATTTTTTCATATTTAATTTTGAAATTTTATCATGTCAAATTTTTATGATAAAAATCTTATTGCTTTATCTTTTATATAAAAAAAAATTGATTATGAGAAGAAATCATAAATATATATTTGATAATTATTTAATTTTAAAAAATTTTAAATTTTTAAAAATGTAGTTTATCAAAGTTTAATTTTAAATTAAAATAAAAAAATTAATATAATTTTAAATTTAGATATATGTGTAATTTTAAATTGAGATAAAATATTTTTTATTTTAAATGATAGAAAATAAAGGCAAAAAATTTTATAAATAACAGTGGTTCAATCACAAATTTTATTTATTTAAATTTATGTGAATATTGATTTAGACGGGATATATTTTTTTATAGTTCCTAAGATTTAAGGATTTAACATTTAAAAATTATTTGAATTTTGTATTTTATATACATGAGTAAGAGTGACGTAAGAGATATGTTTTATTAGGTTTAAATTAAGATAAATCTTATATATTTTGAAATTTTTGGATAAACATAAAATTTTAAATTTTAAAATTTTTAAAAATTAAATATTAAATAAAATTATTAAAAACTATCATATGTGTCAATAATATAAATTATTTACCTAAACGTTTATATAAATAAATCTTACCAGATTTTTATGTATATTATAATATAATATTATATATAATTATATAATCAATAATATATTATTTTTATCTGTAATTCTCTGAACTATGACATTTGGCAACATAATCTAGCTCTTTTTTTTTTTTTCTTTCATCCTGTCTTTGCTTTATTATCATATTAGCTGCGTCTCACCTTTTTCTAATATTGTGCTGCTGGACGCTGTCATGTAAGCATGAGTTTTTTTACAAATCAGCTTCATCATTAGGCATTCATGAATTTATAAAATTTATGAATTGAATTAATTGTGAATATATAAATTTTATATCATTTAAAATTTGAGTTCAAATTTATATTTATTATATTTTAATATTTATAAATTTAATTATTCATGAATCTGTAACATCAATAAATTTAATTAATTATGAATGAAAGTCTTTTTACTGTTCATAAACTAACCATTCATGAATTTAAAATATTTATAAACTCAATTTAAATCTTGAGTTTAGATTTAAATTTACTATTTACTAATTGTGAATCAAACCTAAATTAAATGGATTTAACTATTTATGAACTTAATTTTTTTATAAATTTATAATATTCATCAATCTAATTATTTGTAAATGAATCATTAAATAATATTAAATACTCATGATCATTACATTAATTTTTTTTATCACAAAGATAGCAAGAAAATAACCTATGATTGACTAACTTGAAATGAAAGATAATATAATGCACATTTAATCTTTAAACACAAATTACACAAATAAGAAACATATAATACAAACCTTTTTAGATGCAATCTAACCTAACTAATAAAGTTTTCTCTTCTTTGTATTGTAGTTTGTCAAATATATAAGATTGCATTTGAACAACCCTAACATATTTCTTACAATAGTAGGCTTAGATATCAAATTACTAAAACGATTATTTTTCTTTTGACAACAAACTTTAATTTAATTATTAAAGATAATACTATTTATGCTGCATTTTCTATTGAACTTTATAATTACATAATTTTTTTTTACTATAATACTTGTTTGAATATAATATTTATAATATGAATTTATAAATTATAAATAATATTTTTTATACATGTTTAATTCCAATAAAATTTGTTTAAATAATATAATTAAAAAATAATATGAAAAACCCACAATAATACACAGGATGCTAGTTCTTTATTAAAAGAATCCATAAAGGGGTTAGAGAGTGATACTTGTCCAACTTTGTAAAATGATCATTTAATTCTTTCCAATATTATAAAATAACTATTTTATCCTTTAATCAAAATAATATAATTAAAATGTTAATAATAAAAATTAAAAATATATTAAAAGAATTAAAATAATATAATTAAAATGTTAATAAAAATAAAAAATATATTAAAAAATTCCCAAAATGCTTATATTTTGACAAATGTCCAATATTGTAACATGATCATTTTGCCCTTTCTATTATTATAAAATGACTATTTTACTCTTTAATCAAATTAAAATAACCTAACATGTTAATAATAAAAAATTTTAAAATATATTAAAATAATTCCCAAAGTGATTATATTTTGACACCTGTCCAATATTATAAAATGATCATTTTATTCTTTTCAACATTATAAAATAACCATTTTACTCCAATGAAACTAAAATAACCTAAAATGTATATAATAAAAAAATTAAAAATATGAAAATAAAAACATATTTAGAAAGTTTAGAATTCCTAAAGGTATTATATTGTGATACTTGTCTAGCGTTATAAAATGATCATTTTTCCTTTTTCAACAATATAAAATAATCATTTTATCTTTTAATCAAAATAAAATAATCTAAAATGTAAATAATAAAAATTTTAAAAAAATATTAAAAGAATTCCCCAAGAAATTATAATTTTACACTTGTCCAACATTATAAAATGATCATTTTATCTTTTCAATATTATAAAATAACTATTTTAATCTATAAATTTTTGTAGATCAAAACCCTATATCTGAATTTAACAATTTAAAAGAGCATAAAAAATGATTTTTGGAAGACAGATAAAAAAGTTGTCCTACAATAAAGTGCAAGGGCAAATACTATTATGTATTATTATATATAATTAGGATACTTGGCTTGGCCATTGGTTTTTTTTTTTTTTTTTTTCATTTTAACAGTTGTCACGAAGGTATGAGCCTGTGTACAATTTTATATAGATGTTAGATTTATCCAAAATTAGTGAAAAGAAACATGAAAATTTTCATTTTTCCTCTTTGATTATAATTCTTCCAACTAATTACCATAAGTCTCATAATCAAAAGAAATACTTAAGAGATTGGAACTAAAAAATGAGCAATATACCACGCTATTTTTTATATGAATGATTTATTGTTTTGCTTACATGTGCTTTGATTGTTTTGATTTGTTAAAAAGGAATGATTTAAGTTTCATTAGCTCATTGATCTAGAAATATACTTGAGATCTCTTTTTTTTTTCTTTTATTTACATTTTTTTGGGCCAAATTTTATTTGCATATTGAATGCATTTTACTTAATAACTTGATTGAAAATGAAATCATATAGTTCACCAAATAAAATATTGAAGTTCTTCTTAATCATGCTTTTAGAAAGAAGCAAAAGAGAAAAATAGACACAGTTTAGTTAGTCATAGCTCAACTACAAATACAACCCTACACCCAAATTGATCTATTATCTTCGACTATTCTTTACTTTCATGTTAGTACTACATACTGCAACACTTTAAAAATGAAAACTCAAATATTGAATTGGATAAATCAAGAAAAAGTATATCAACTATATAAGATTTAAGCACATGTTTGTACATAAGTGTGGCACATATATGAAGACCAAAGAATTTTAAAGGCTAACACACTTACCTCATTGTTACAAGAATACCTTTTGTTATAGCATAACCATTGAGCTTCTTTGATTTAATGGGAACAATAATGGCATTTTTAGCAACAGAAGCAATCTGAAAACATGAAATAACGAGGGATTACCGTAACCAAGTTGAATGATAGGGTAATGATCTCTTTCATCAAGATTTTGCTTTAACAAGTTCATAGCACTTCTTATGCTTAGTGATGATGATGCTATCTTGAGCCTCTTGGTTTTTTGGGAACCTTATTTTTTTAACATCATTTTTATGTCTCACTTTTTATTTTTAGCTGGTCGAGAGAAAAGAATGGTGAGAAAATGACAACAGCCAAAAGTTTACTAAGTTTATCTTTCAAATTTAATAAATAACAGCAACATAGACACATGGGATAGAGACTTTTTAACATACAAGTTAAAGTTAGTTTTCATTTACCATATACTTCAGAAAAAAAAAAAACTTTGTTCACAAAGTAATGTCTTTGTTTGTGCTAAGTTATCTAAGGTAAAACTTTGAAAATACAAGAAAGAGAAATAGAGCAGTTAACGACAAAGGCTGGAATGATCCCAACGTTTATGCTCCAACATTCAAGTCAAAAATTGGTTTAAGAAAGGAAAAAAATATAATGGAATAAAGGATTAAAAATTTAAAAGTTCAAGATGCCTTAGAAATACCTAAATAGGACTACTTATACTTATGTGATGGGAAGTTTTGGGCCTAGGCTATTAGAGATCACCTTAGGGAACAAGGGTTGACTTTATAAGCTTGAGATAAATAGTAGTTGATTGTCCACTTAAGGCACAACAAGTTAGTGTCTTGGGATATTAACTCATAAGTTGCTAAGGGGGTTGAGCTTACGTGGATCTCGAGATTTCAATTGGTTTGAAATGTCAACTCAATCAAAATGACTAAAGTACCATCGCTTATCATTAACTTATACTAAAGAGGGAAAAACCTATTTTGCCCTTAAGACACTAAAATGCCCCAAACATTTTATCCCTTCATCAACTAGTTTGAGGATCTAAGCTATCGAAAATAGA